CCCTAGGCGAGACAAACTCGAAACATCGCCCGCCGAATCGCCAAACGTTTCAACCATGGACTTGGCGAACTCCTGCACCGAGCCAGCGGAGATCTCGCCCCAAGCCCAGGACGATACGAGCTTGGTCCCAGCAGGGCTTGACGGGAAATCGACGTCTGCTTCAGGAGCATCCTCATCACCGACAGCTCTTCGTTTTCGTCTCTGCTGGTGCCCCCCCCTGCCATCAGCGGCCCTTTTGCTCATGGCACCTACTTAAGGCTGCAAGCCCGTAGCTTTGGCGGAACATGAGGTAGCTTCAAGCTGGTATGCCCTCAACACAACAACAGCGCCGAAGGCAAGACCCTGAGCTGCAACATTTTTTTCGCCCTGACGGCTTCGTTGTCGGGAACTGCTCGCTGCCCTCGTCGGCAGCATGTGGCAGGTCTAGCAATCTCGGGTGAGATCTAAGATCTAATCGGATCTGGAGGCCAGAATCTCAAAACGGGATCACTCAATCTGTGCTTTAGCCTGGCAGCTTAGAAGTCTTAAAGTTTAAAAGATGCAAGCAAAAACGAAGTCCCTAGAAACAGCCTCCTCTACAAAAAGCTCTCAGCTGTCGTCCTCGAGGGACAAGACCTCAGAGCAGGCCTTTGCGACCTTTGCCGACCGGCGGACCAGAGCCACAAGCTTCTTGTCGTCCATCTTATTGGCCCCGAAAAGCTTGATCACTTCCTTCAAGTCTTTGATCTTGCCCTGGATCTCCTTCTTCTCCTTGCCATCGGTCTCAAGCAGCTTTTCCTCCAAAAGCGACTGGACTTCACCGCAAGCACCTTTGGCACGAACAGCAGCAAGCTGCAGCTTGTCCTTGGGCACCGTCTTGCCTGCCACGAGGCCTTCGCAGTTCTCCAGGGCTCTCAAAGCTTTGCTGTCAGCTGTGAAGGCCTGCGAAGCCGCTGAACCCGCTGCCCCTGCTTTGCCAAAGCCGTAGTCGTCGAACTGGTGATTCTTCTTGTTGCCGATGAGAGGTGTGAGGTGCTCGTCGGCCTCATCGGTCTTCTTCTTGGGGTCCTCTGCCGGGAATTCGAAACGGAGGTGCTGCTTTCCGTTTTCCAGGTCGTGGAGGACCTTGAAGTCGGTCCAGGTGCACTTCCCCGAGTGCTGCATCATCTTCTGCGTCTCCTTCTTCGCCTCCGTCGTCTCGTAGCGGAGCAATCGAGGAATTCGGGGAATCTCTCGTCTGCCGGGCACTTGCGAACAGCAATGGTGCCTGCAAGCACCCTCGCCTTCAGCTCTCTCGCTCCATACTTCATGTTGAGCATGAAGTGAAGAGGCTGCCAAACCGCCTTGTTGCCCTTCACGTGCGACGTGGAGAACTTCGCCATGTGCTCCATGTAGGTGTCGACTTGCTGCTGCAGCCGCCCTGAAGCCACGAGATCAAGAGGCTTTTGGCCTTTTTCTTGGAGCCAACTCCTTGGGTTGCCATTACATAGGCATCGTGCTCACCGGTGGACTTCCGGTCCGCTTCGAACTTCTTCCACAATCGCATCTGCTCTTTGTCACCCAAGTTCTGGATGTACTCCGAGACGTACTGGGGGTCCTTGTTCTCCAACTGTGCGAGGGCAGCCTCGGTCAAGGCCTGGTTGTCCTGGGGCTTGCCGGTGTTGTTGTCGCCTTTGTTCCCGTCCTTCGTCCCCTTCCCTTGCTTCGGCGGCTTCTCGTTCTTCTTCGGCTTGGTCGTGTTCTTCAGGGCCTGCTGAAAGGAAGGCTTCTTCCACACAGCGGCCTTCCCCATGGCTTGCAAAGGGCTGGAAAAGCAAGGCAGCTGCTACTCTGGAAACCAAAAGCTGCAGACGAAATAGTCCTTGCAATCTTTCCTTCATGTTTTGTCTGTCCCACCCCTTGCTTTCGCAGTTACAAAGGGAAGGGTGTTTGGCTTCTAAATCCCAGCCATAGGCTCTTTTCAGGGCCAGGCCCCGGCCAGGCCCCATACCCAGGGATCCTGGCCAGGTTCTGGCCTCCCACCCATTCATCTCAACCTGGGTTCCGGGGCTTGGGTGGCTGTGGGAAAGCAAGCAACCATCCAGAGCAACGTTGTAGCAATGGGCAATAAATCGACACAAACGAAAAACGACACAAAAATCATTAAGTATGTGTTGTTAAATACTAGATAGGAAAAACGACACGAAAATAATTAAGTATGTGTTGTTAAATACTAGATAGCTTTCAGGTTATATCCAAAAATCACCGAAGTATTTCTTTAATTAAGTACTTTAGATAGTTTTTAGGGCTTTGGGTTTTTAGTTAGATAGGGTATAAGTTTTTGTGTAGGGTTCTGCCGGTTTGGCTTCTATCTCGGGGCTTGGTTTTTGCTAAACAGGGTTCGCGGCTTAAGGGGCTTGGAGTTGTTCCTTACATCGGGTTTAAGGATATATCTTTGGGGTTCTCCCTTTGCCGTCTATTTTGTGGTTTGTTTTTTGTATAAGTACAAGATAGCTTTTAGGTTTAAGGGTTGGGGAGGTTTGGGGTTCGGGGCTTAAGGGGCTTTGGGTTTTACTTACATAGGGTTTAAGTTTTCTTTAGGGTTCTCCCTGCTGCATTGTATGTCGGGGTCTGGTCTTTGGTTAAGTACAAGATAGCTTTTAGGTTTAAGGGTTGGGTAGGTTTGGGGTTCGGGGTTTAAGAGGCTTTGTGTTTGTTTTTTCGGTGTTTGTGTTTCTGAAGATCTAGACAGCTCTTAGGTTTAAGGGTTGGGGGGGGTTGTGGTTCGGGGCATAAGGGGCTTTGGGCTTTTAAGATAGATAGAGCTGACAAGTTGTTCTTTAGGGTGTTGTGGCTTTGTTCTCTTTTAGGTGCTTGTGCTTTTGAAGTTCTAGATAGCTCTTAGTTTTCAGGGTTTGGGGGTTTGGGGTTCGGGGCTTAAGGGGCTTTGGGCTTCTAAGGGTGATTTTTGTTAAGTTCTAGATTTTTGTTTGGTTTCAGTGTCTTGTTTTGTGGTTTCCGGGTTGTGTTCCTGGGCTTCTGCTGTGGTTGGGCCGGCTGCTTCGTTTTTTTTTTTTTTTTTCGCTC